TGTAGAATCAGAAATCTGTAGAAAGATTTAAAGGGAGAGCAAATGGTTAGGAAACCATGGCTATAATTGCACAAGGTTTGAGTATGTTCCTTCACATTCCACCTGATGGAAGCCTGGCCCCCAGTATGAGGTGTAGCTTTTAATAGAAGGAACCTTCTGGAAGGTCATTAGGTCATGAGGTATTGCCTCAGAAGAATGTATGCTCTTCACATAAAGTGAGTTCCTTCTCAGACACCTTTAAAGACACTTTTCAAAGCGGAGGCATGGAGGAATAAAGGGAACTTCCAGAGGGAGACTATTCTTTTCTAAACTTTCTAACCACCGGAGGTAATGACAGTCATGATATCAGAGACTATGCCTGTGCCGCTGGTTGGGGGGTTGCAGCCGGATGGAAGGAAACAGGGGAGTCTTGGCTTGGTATAGTGTAACTTAGGTGGTATAACTCAAGTCTAAACACAGGACGGTTGTGCACCTGACAACTCGAATTTCACATGAAAGGGCCCCCAAGTTTTGTTTCCCAGTGGAAACTGAGAGATTGGACCAGGGATATTCCACTCTCCCCGCCTTGTCTGTGATGGTTTAATTCCATTTTAACATGGAGACATCACTATGCTTCTAGAAGTAAATATTACACAGAGGATGGTTCTCCTCTGCTTTCTGACACCCTCTCCCTCTATAGATAACCAGCCTCCTTGCTCCCTGGCTTATCTCTGTGGTTTATTTTTAAAGATTAGCATACCTACATAGATCTTTCCTTTTGCTCCCTGCCCCCTTCTTGTAACTCCAAAGGCAGTAATCTATGTACACCCTTTTGCTCTCTGCTTTTCTTTTCCCACCCCATGAATTTGCTCCTGGAAATTGCTCTACCATCCTCTCATAAAGATCTTCCTTCTTTCTTTTGTTGCTGCTTAGTCACCCAAATGTGTACGTACCAATGTGTATTCTCACTCCATTTTTAATGCTTGCAAACTAATTCAATATTTAAAATAGAATAAATCATACCAGTGGATTGTAAGTTTCTGGTCA